CCTGGGCGAACAATGATGCGGTCTCCGCTTGCCTGTGAGTAACACTACCATTGATCTGGTGTGCAGAGCTTGTCACGCGTGTCCTGTCTGACAAGACCGGCTGCGGGCCTCAACCCCGGATGGGCAGTTCGCTGCCAGCAGTGCGGTCCCGGTCGTTCCAGTCGTGACAGTGTTCTAGTTGCGGGCTCTTCATATCTACACTAATAAAAGAGAAACATGCAAATTGGTGTTACTCCACTAAGCCCACCAGCCAATCAGATGAGTATGCAAATTAATCCAACAGAGATGGCAGTTAATTTGCATACACAGGCACAGAGCGAAGACTGAAGACAATGTAGAAGTAAGCCAAGCGCTGCAGAAGGGAGCGAAGCTGCGGAGAAGCAAGCGAGGCAGCGGATGTGGGAGCAAAGTCTGCTTCGGTGGGTTTCGCTCCCTTCTCTGCTTCGCTCTGGCTGCAAGAAGCCTTATTTTTGCAGGAATCTTCCTGCAACAGGCCTCTAGTATATATATAAAATACTATCTCTAATATCCTTGGTTACCTAGTTTTCTCAACAGATTAGGAACAGGATACTTAGTCTCTCTATTCCAGGGGTGGGGGCCGTATAAGGCTAGAGAAATAATTTGGTCTGGCCCTGCCAAGGCATTAGGGGTGAGTTAATTAAATGTTTGACCAAATATAGCAGGCTCATTTTTAAGTTGATAATTTTGTATTGCCTCTGAATGTTGTTATAAATATCTAAATGGCCCTTGGCAGAAAAAAAGTCCCCATCCCTGATCTATACTCATATGGTCTTCACTATTTTCTTTTCTTACTGTAATTCTACATTCAAATTGTTTTGAAAATATTAACTAAAAAACCACTCTAAAGATAAAATGTTCTATTTTTAAAACATTTAAGAAATTTAAAGTCATTAAATGAAAATCTACAATTCACTTTAATTAAAATGTCCCATATAGCAGGTTAAATGTTTTCATTTCTTGCCCCAGATTAAGTGTTAGTTTTTACATTTCTACAAGTAGAAAAAAAAAAGGTAGAGAAACCACTTTGTAACAATGAGCTTTCTGAAAATATAAACTTCTAGAAGTTTTATAATTCATATAACTAATGCATTGCCTTGGAAATAAACTGGAAAATAGCAAATAGTTAAAAATCTATACAAATACAATATTGACTCAAAGATTATGTACAAAGTGCCCAAAGAGCTATACAAATCTTATAAAATATAAATATTTCAGTAGAGCTGTAGAAAGTCATTGAATAACTTAAATGAACTCACAGATATTAAAAACTCTTTTGTTTCAATAATTCTGGAATTAATTTTGAATATTATAAGCTGGTCAAATTCCTACAGCACCAACATTTAGTACTACAAAGAACCAAAATCAAAGACATTTAATGAAAAGTTTTACCTGAAAACATTAAAGACAGATGCACTTTAACTTGCATCCTCTAACTTATTACTACACACTAAGCAGTAAAGGAATATTCAAGAATCTGATTTATATTAGTAATATCAATCCACAGGGTATTGTCAATTACTTCTGAGGACACTGAAGTTTCTCACCTATAACTGATATCTTCTACACCTTTAAAAGTTTAATCACAGCATACTTCTACACATATCTTGAAAAAAAATCATTTTGTAAAACAATTCCAAAAAGGTTGGGAACTATGCCTTTTAAATAATGTTTCTTAAATGACTAAAGATGTAGAAAACTTTAGATTACATGAGACAGATAAACATACACTCCTCAAACCTCACTCAAAGGTAGCCACCGATTAAAAATCAATTCCATTTAGTGACCACCAACTTAAATGCTATTTAATCTTCACATCTCTGCAAAGCAGGTACATAACAAGTACAAAGTCACAATGAAACCCATGTCTATTTAATGAACACCATGGCCCCTGGTCTCCAACAACAGAATTAACTATTTTTTAAAATATAGATGGACAGAAAGTTGCTGGTTTAAATTTAGCATTATGACAACCTCAACGGGTGTAGTGAATGGCAATTCCAAAACATAAGCAGTAAATGTAAGATTATGGCATTA